TTCTCACCATACGGGCATGCCGTCTGGACATATAGTCGGCTACTCTCCATAGAAGAGGGCCGACTGGTTCCAAACACACAGCCACCCCCCTTATACTTAGCTAAAAAAAGATTAGGGCCTGGCCGACCCTGTTCCTTACAGGCGGCTACCCTCCTCTTACTTAGCACCTACGTTCACCAAGAACTAACCAAGGCCACAGGCCGAATGATCAGACCAGGCGCCAAGCCAAATGATCAAATCTTCAAGACTAATACGACCTGTCCCAACATCATAGCAGGCGTCCGGCGGCATCCCTCCGGATGAAATTCGTCGCAAAGAGCAGCTCCCTTTTGGGTGGAACATTGCTCTATAAACTAATTACACGACACCTATACGACTGTCCCCAAGGGCAACCACGTAGCCGTTTTTGAGACAAGGATAACTCTATCACTAACCAAACCAGTGGTAGCAGTTGACATCTGAGTCAGATGACCGCCTGTATTACTTGGGATAAATGCAGGGGGTACCTCTTGAGTTAATAGCCAACAAACATTGGCGAATCAAGGGGTCTAGCCGGCCTCCGCCGCCTGGTACCTCTACTTCTCAAGCAAGAGTGACGGCGAATGAGTAACTCCAACGTTAACTCATAGTCACTCCCTCAAATTTGGTATGGAACCTAAAAGGTTTGAGTAGACCGCCTGTTTTTTGGCAAACAGGGGCACTCAAACCCCTATTCCTACTATGTAACCTATTGAGTTAATAGCCAACAAACATTGGCGAATCAAGGGGATCAGCCGGCCTCCGCCGCCTGGTACCTCTACTACTCAATCTAGAGTGTGACGGAGACTAAGTAACTCCTATGTTAACTTATAGTCACTCCCTCAAACTTAGTATGGAGCCTAAAAGGTATGAGTCGTCCGCCTGTTTTTAGCAAACAGGGGCTCTCAACCACTACTCCTGCTAGGTTAACAAATTATGAGTTAAAAGCCAACAAACATTGGCGAATAAAGGGAAACAACCGGTACCCGCCGCTTGTTATCTCTACTACTCAGTTCCTTGGCGACTAGGTAACACTCATGTTTACTTGGTCAGACCACTTTCCTACTTGGTTAAATTTACAAATGACAGGACCGCCTGCCTAAAAAGGATCCAGACCTTAAAATAGTTCGAATCCCGATTGGATAAATGGCCGACTGATCGTCTATCCTGGAAACAGACAACCAGTCGTCCAGGAGCATAGGCGGCGTGACTAACTATCCGTACCTGTCTGCAACTATCGGCCATGTAAAACAGTCGGTCTAGTGAACAATTGGATATTAGAATATGGAATACTTAGGCAAATTTGAGGCAAAACAAAAATTCATTAAAAAGAAGCCGGTCATTAAAGACCGGCAAAATATTCAAAGCCCCGGCCCCCTGGCCGGGTAAATACAAAACAAACGGCACGCAGGCCGTGGAAAGAATACATAAAGCTTAAGAAGGGGGCAGATCTTCAATATTAGCAGCTGCCGCCTGGTCAGCACTCTTCTTGCTGGACTCGGCTTCAGCTGCATCCTTTTTTGATGCATTACCCCCAAGCGGCACAAGCGCCACTACCGGCTCCTCCTCCTCCAACGCTTCCTCCAACGCCTCTTCCTCAGCAGCCGCCAGGATCTCTTGATTATATGTATCAGAACACTGGCGGTACGTTTTTTCCCATGAGGCAAAGTCGGCATTGGGGAAGAGGCGGCCCCAAGTCATGCACTGGATTTGAGCGGAGTCTTCCATCATCTCCCGGACCAGCTCTTTCTTCTCTTGCTCGGCCTTTTCCGAGAGCTCCTGGGTAAGACTCTTCTCTTGGGTCACCAGGCGTTCCTTTACGTTGGCCAAGGATTTCTCCAAGGCTTCGTATGAGTACATCTTTAGGCGAAGAGGTTTCAGCTCGGCCTTGAGATTGGTGATGGTCACCTCCAGCTCGCCATTCCTCTTCTGGGCCGCCTCTAACTGAGCCCGAACAGCGGCGGTAGCCTGCGCCTGATAATAAAGAATATCAATGGTCAGAACTTCATTTTGGGCAATTTGAAACATTGCCTTATCACAGTTGGAGGCGGCCATAGCTTTTGCTGCCTTTACCTCTTTGTTCTTCCGGTCAAGCGGCTTGCGAAGGCCGTTCACTCGGAGCAGGGCCTAAGTAAAAAGAAATAGGCGTCAGTTTCCAAACAAAAAAGAAAACAGGCGTCCAGAAATTCAAATACTCAAAAATATGCTAAGTATACCTCAGCAAGGACCCCTGCAATCCCGTCTAGGTCAAGGGTGCCGACACCCCTGACCGCCTCCCTTTCAGCTGGAGGAACTGCCCTGATCATAGACTTGGCCATCTCTACCAAGTCAGGCTCCTGAGGGCCGGCTGCATCAAGCATAAACAAACGGATTAGACCTAGTAAAAAAGGGAGCGAGTCTAAAATTTACAAGGACAACTTCATACTTCTAGGCGGCCCAGTTGGAGTTTTAGAAGAAGTGGCCGGCTGTTTCTCAGCCGCCACATGTTTCCTGGCAGAACCAGAAGAGCTCGCAACAGTCGTTCTCCGGGCCTTGGGGTCCGGCTGTTGGGAAGATGAAGCTCTTGGAGCACCCGTCTAAAAAAAAAAAAAAAAAAAAAGTCAGTATATGCATAAACACAACTCCAAAAAGAGGGTGAAAGGTTCGGAGCTCACCAAGGGTGCCCCCTTCTTGGGGGAGTCGGTTGAAGCTTGTTGCATGATGGAGGCCCGCAACATGGCCGCCGCAGTCTTGGAGGCGGTGATTTTGCTCATGGCGTCAGCTGCAAAAACAAACAGCAAAGTTAATAAAAGTCATAACAAGAAATGTATGGAACAACAGAGTATTCGACAGGCCGACTACCTCTTGAGCACCGACTGCTGAGGCCACAGGCGGCCAAAAAGTACTCGTCGTAGAGCCATTTGAAGCTCGGGACGCAGTGCAGGGGTACTTGCTCTCGTACCCCTGAAGTAGAGTCGACCCTCGACTCTACTTTAAAGAGTCCTTTATCAAGGATCTCTTTCTTAGCCTTGGGGGGAACAGGCGGCATGCTACGGCCGCCTGCAAGAAGTGGCGGATTCCTGTTCCACCTATTGAAGCGCTTGTTCAGCTCAGTGTCTGAACTCTCAATGATGAGGAAGGTGCTCCGCCAGTCCTTCCACTTGTTTGCTTTACCTCTCGTCATGAGGTAGCCCCTGTGGCTTGTCAATTGATACCAGCCGGTACCGCCTGCCTTAGGGGTCCGGCTGAGATAGTTCATATGGGCGAAAGCCTCGAAGCTCGGCTCCACCCCGTGCAGTTCGCACCCGGCCACATAGCCGAGTACGTTGACCCAGGAGTTTGGGGCTAACTGCCATAACCCCAACTCATACCCATCCAAGATCCGCTGAACAGCCGGATGTAATGGGAAGCGCAGCCCTGCCTTGATGGCCGCCTCGTAGCAGCCAAAGCAGGCGCTATCATAACTAGTACCAGCCGGCCAGACGACTGTGTCTTCTGGATCCGGCACAAACACTAGAAAGTCGGGGCCCATGGTGTGGTTTGCAATAAAGCTCTCCACTTTCTCTTGCATGGCTGTGATCCGGCCCCGAGGTACCGTGCAGTAATAGGGGGTATTTAGCTCTCGGTAAGAGGCGGATGGCTCCGCCCAATTGTCCCCCTTCTCAACTGCGTGAGAAAGTCTCGCCTCTTGCAGGCGGCTGTTTTTCTCTTCTGTGTCCAAAGAAGCATGGCCAGAAGAGCTTGACTCGGAATCGTCCTCTGACGAGTCCGAAGAGGACGACTCCTCCCCTCTCCCGGAGGGGCCCGCCTCCTCTCTTTGAAAAGGAGCATAATTGTTAACTGTTAAATGGGAAGGGGTCAATATGACTCCTCCCACAGAATTGCCGGCTTTCAGGCCGCCTTGTTTCACTTCCACATCTGGCGCCTGGTCAGATGTTTCATTAAGCGGCACCATGTGGGAGGAGCCGTCTGAATTTGAGATCCTAGCAGTCTTTTTCGTTCTGGCCATCCTGCTCTGCATAGACACAGATACAATCGGACTTTGTATAAAGGGCAAAGATGGGTCCGGAAAAGGGCAGGCGGCACTCTTAGTCCTAGATTCAGCCGTCCCCGGTGACCGGCTGATCACTAACCTAGGTCGTGTCGTGTGCTTCCGTGGTGCCATTTCAAAAAATAAAAAGAAAATTAAGAGTAAGAGAACTGACAGTTACCTGAACGAGTGACGGTTGATGAAGTTCTGAAAATCCTTTGCAGTCGGCTTGTCAGAACAGGCGGTAGGCGGAAAAGGTCCAAAATGTCAGAGCAAGTTCAGGGGTCCGAATGTTCTCAAAAAGTTCTCAAGTGTGAAAATGACTCAAGACAACTCTCCTTATATAGGCGAAGTGAGAAGGCAAAGGGTCACTTTCAGAATTCAAAATTTGGGCGGGAAAATCTCTCGGCCTTTCGTCGCCTGTTACAGTGCGGCACCTGTCACAGGTAACACGTGACCAGTCACGTGCCACCTGTGAGGGGCAAATGATTAGGGGATTTTGCTCCCGCCAATCGGAATGCGCCACGTGGGCCAATCAGATCCTGCCAAGTGTCCCCAAGATGGAACTGTCAGGGCATGCCACGTGGCACACGTTTATTCGTCCACCTTGGACCTGTTATGTCATGACATGTGGCATACTCCATGCCTAATGGAGAAACCGGCCACCCAGGCCCAACTTCTGAGGGAAGCCCAATCAGCCCTAGGTTAACCTAAACCTAGGATGGGCACGTTTCCCAAGGTTATAAATACCTCCCTTAATCCTCATTAAGGGGGATTACGAAAAAAAACACATTAATTACACACAGTAATAACCGGCTGATCTCGCTAACAAAGCAGATTACCTACATTAAACACTCTCACCTAGAGAGACCCAATCACTTTAATTTCCGCATTAATTACTCCTTAATCAAGTACTAACTTGACCGTTGGAGGCGGAGCTCCCACCACCAGGAGTCTCCGTTATTTTGCAGGTACAGGCGTCCGGTTCCAGTCTCAGAATTGTAACTCTCCCGCAGGACATCAGAAAACCCCGAAACAGTATCCATTCCCATTTTTTGTCAAATGAAAAGCCTATTTTTCCACCAATGTACATGCTCTTATTACTAATTTTTTTTTTTTTTTTTTTTTTTTTGACGAAACTTATTACTAACTATCTCCCCACACATAAAAAAAAAAAAAAAAAAAAGAAAAAAGTAGAAGGGCATTTGAGTATAATCCACAAAAAAAAAATAAAAATAAAAAAAAATAAAAATAAAAATTCAAAAATTTAAACACAAACTTTCTAACGGATACAACCCACAGAAAAATCAAAAACTCATTTCTCAACGGTCATATTTCTTTTCCTTTCACAAAACAAACGCTCTCTCTCTCCTACTTCTTCTTCTTCTTCAAAATTCGAATCAAAAATTCAAAAAACTCATCTTCTCTCTTTCTCTCTCTAACTCTGCTTCTCTCTCTAACACGAAACTCATTCTACTTTCTACCTTCAATCTTCAAATTGGGCAATAATGTCGATGACTTCAGTAAGAAATCTGCTCAACAAATCTCTTTCTTCTTCAAAACGCCAATCAAACTTAAAGAAATCGCCATTATCAACTTCGAAATCACATACTTTTGCTGACGAAAATGCAGCTCCAATTGATCCCAATATTCAATCAATTGAACCCCAATTTCCCCTTTCATCAAACCCTAAAAAATCACCCTCTAAGCTCTCGATTTCTCGCTCCAAAGTTCTTGAATCTTCTAGATCAGACCCAATTGTAGAACATTCTACTTCCCCTGATCCCCCAGTTAAGGTATTTTTATCCCAACAATTCTATTTTTGTTTGTAATCTTACTATTTATTTATTTATTTTTTTTTTTTTTTGCTGATTTTTGAAATTTTGAAAATTGTGTAATTTTTGTTTTTGTATGTTTTTTCGAAGGTGGTGGTGAGAATTAGACCCAAGACTGTTAATGAAAAATTGGGCGATCCGACAATTAGGAAGATTTCTGAGGATTCGGTGTCGATTGGTGACCGGGAATTTGATTTTAATTCGGTTCTTGACTCGAATACTAAGCAGGTTAGGTCAATGGGTCTTTCTCTTTAGTTTATATAATGTATCTAGTTTTATGTTGTGTAATTGGGGAATTTTGATTTGTTATAATTAGAAAGTTTGCTACATTTTGCACATTTTATGAATTTTGTTAGATATAATAGCTAGTGTTTTATTGGTATTGTGAAGTAAGATTTAGTATTGCATTGAAATGATTGACATGTAATGTTGTATTGAAATCATAGAATGATCGTAGTTTTTGATCCAAAAAATCTAGTAATAAAACAAAGTAATAGAATGTATCTAGTTTTATATTGTGGAAACTTTATATTGTTAGTCTTATAGCTACAATTTTTGCTACATTTTGCACATTTTATGAATTTTGCCAGATATAGTAAATAGTGCTGTATTGGTATTGTGAAGTGACACATAAATATATAATGTTGCATTAATATAAGTAGAATTATCGTAGTTTTCAATCAAGGAACTCTAGTTCTAGAAGAGATTAATATTGGGAATTTTGGATTGGAAAATGCCAAGCGAAAATGTTTAATCCCTTGATTATTAGTTTTATTGTGTTTGAACTCACAAAGATGTTTTGAGTTGGTTGGTGTAATATATAATATTGGATCAATATGATTTATTTTATTCTTTTTTATTTTTAACAATGGATCAATATGATTAATGTTAAGTGACACTTGATGTTGAATTGATATCTTAGAATGATCATAGTTTTCGATCCAAAGAAATTGAGTACTTGAACAGATTAGTGTTAGGAATATTGGATTGGAAAATGCAAAGTTAAAATGCCTAATGCCTTGGTTTTAAAATTCCATTTTATTTGATTTTGTGCTCCAGGAAGATGTTTTCGACTTAGTTGGTGTACCTTTGGTCAAGGATGCATTGGCAGGTTACAATTCTTCAATATTATCTTATGGGCAGGTATTGCAAAAGAAATCCTCTTGTCATTTTATGTGTGTGGCTCTATTTGCAGTCATTTTAGTGAATTCAGGGTAATTAATATAGCTTTATCTTGTTATAGACTGGGAGTGGTAAAACCTACACAATGTGGGGGCCGCCAAGTGCCATGGTCGAGGGACAGTCTCCTAGTACTCAGCAAGGAATTGTTCCACGTATCTTCAAGAAGTTGTTCTTTGATATTGAGAGAGTATGTTACTCTACTACCATCTAGTTGATAAATTTCAGAAGTATATGTTGTGCATATGTTAGAAGTTGAGTTTTATTCAATGCTTTGTGTATAGGAAAAGGTGAATTCTGAAGATAAACAGATAAATTACCAGTGTCGTTGCTCATTTCTTGAGGTAATTCTATTGACCTAGTAATCCTGGATGATACCATAACTAGTATAGTTGTTGCTTTATCATGTGAATCAAGGTGTTTGACTATATGAAATTGGTTGTAACAGATATACAATGGACAAATTGGGGATTTACTTGATCCCACACAGCGAAATTTGAAGGTGCTTGATCTTTGCCTTTGAATTGCTTTTATAAGCTTGTTTGTTGTCATTGCATTATGTTATGTATGATTAACATTTCATAACTTTTCAGATAAAGGATGATGCCAGAAATGGGTTTTATATAGAGAATTTGACCGAGGAGTATGTAACAAGCTATGATGATGTTACTCAAATTTTAATCAAGGTATCCAATAGACATGCTTTGTTCTCCGTAGTATTAACGACCATAACATAAATCCTCATGCACTAGTTCACTGTGCCAGTTTTCTCATGCCGAGTTTTTACGGTGCAGGGACTTTCTAGTCGAAAAGTTGGTGCCACAAGTGTAAATTCTAAGAGTTCTCGATCTCATATTGTATTCACATGCGTGATTGAATCCTGGTGCAAGGTATCCTTCTAATCAGCTCCCGAAAAAAACGGTTTAGTTCTAGTTGATATGATCATGCTCCATTGCAATTGCTTTTACTTAAGTAGGTCCTTGACTATCAGTGTGTGGAACAGGAAACACCATCAAGTAACATTAGCAGTTCAAAAACTAGTCGAATTAGCCTCATTGATCTTGCTGGAATGGGAAGAGATAAACAAGCTGATGCTGGAAGAGAGTTTGAAAGGGAAAGAAAAGAATTGAACAGTTCATTGTCTCACCTTGGGTAAGATATCAATCATATCATGAAGTTCTCAGTGTCATGGCTTTTATTTGTGCTTTCAGATTACAGTTGTTGAATAATACGAAGTAATAATAATGCAACTTGGGTACCTAAGGCAGACATGGGTATGTATCTTCAGGTGTCAGTAGTACTTAAGGTAAAATGTCGAGTCCAAGTAATATAGAATATGAATAAACCATGATACTTCAATGAGATATAAAGGACAAGAAGCTTTTTTATTTGTGGTTGCTTTCTGTTTATCTACAACGATCCCTTATAGAAAATTGTCTATTTGTTGCAGGCACTTGGTGAATATCTTAGCAGCAGGAACTCAACCTGATGATCTTATGTACAGAGATTCCTGTTTAACACATTTACTGCAGCAATCACTTGGTGGCAATTCCAAACTCTCTGTCATCTGTACCATATCTCCTGATATAAAGTATTCTTCTAAATCTTACCTAATAATTTATGTTTCAAATTAGGAACATGTATTTACTAGCATGTATTACCATTTACTCATGTAGAGTAAACCTTAAGAATCATGGGGATGGGACTCTGATAATCTTCTTGTTATTTGATTGAATGCAGAAATTATGTTGAGACACTTAGCACACTCAGGTTTGGACAACGAGTAAAATCCATTCAAAACAAGCCTGTTGTTAACGAGATTACAGAAGAAGATATGGATGATCTAACGGATCAAATCCGTCAACTTAAGGTGTGTATATTTCCTTTGATTATTTCATTCTAATACACTCTGCTTAGAAAAAAACATCAAATCTTTATGATCACTCATATTTATAAATAAAATTTGTGTAATTACTTTTCAGGAAGAACTTATCAAAGCAAAATTAAATGTTCGCCCAGCTAGCTCTGAGAATGGACAATTAGCAGGGAAAAGCGTGCGTGAAAGCATTAATCAATTAAGAATTAGCCTAAACCGCTCCCTGGTGTTGCCTGCAATAGATAATGAGATTGAAGAACATGTCAACGCTGACGAAACTGATGTCAGAGACTTGTGTAAACATTTTGACCACTTGAACAGATCCTGTGAAGAGATATCAAAAGACATGTCTTGTGACAGCGATACCATGAGTTTTTCGTCTGTGCGAGGAAGTTGTGATAGCTATTTCACCAGTGAACATGAAATCAACTGTTTACATGAATCAGTAGAAGTCAGTTCTGATCAGGCATTGCAGTGCAGTAGAAGTAGTATGTCTATCAGTTCATCTCGACATTCTGCAGCTTTTGAAGAGCCAGCATTATCCGAGTCACCCAAAATTAAAAATACTACAAGAAAAAGCATGGTAAGTTCACCAAGTCTTTTGGCTGAGCAGAACATTGTTAATGAGAGCGCCAAGTTCTGTGAAGCTGTGCCGGGGAAGTCAGTTAGGCAAAGTGAGCCAATGCTGCGATCCTCTTTAAGGTCAAGCAAAATGTTTTCAGGACCTACTGAATCTTTGGCTGCTAGCTTAAGAAGAGGCTTGGAGGTCATTGATTCTCATCAGCAGCATAATTTGTCAAAGTCTTCGGTTGCTTTCTCCTTCGAGCACTTGATGTTAAAACCTTCTCCAGCAGTTGACAAGGCCTATGCTTCTGTTCAAACATTATCAGATGTTAGGCCATCAATTGATGGATCACCTTCTTCCTTTATGTGTATATCTTGCCGTCAGAAAGGGCAGAACGTCTCAAATGAAGTTGAGGATAGTTTGAAGACATGGATAACTGCAAACAACGAGGTAGGAGTTAATCTTAAGGCCTCAATGGACTGCACCAAAATGTTCATATTCTGTGTTCTTATACGCTTTCTTTGACCTCTCAGGAAAAGGATGCAGATACTGCTCAGGCCATTAATGTGCAGAAGGAGCTTGAAAAAGTTTGCAGTGAACAAGCTACTAAAATTGAGGAGCTCAACCATCTGGTAATTATTATTTCTTGTATAATACTCTGAAAGTTAACTTTTCTATGAAAGCTTCTGCCTAACTAATCTTTGAACTGTGTGTGCAGGTGGAGCAATTGAAACAAGAAAAAGAGAATAATAATGCTTTACAAAATAACCAAGAAATTGAAGACAAGGTCAGTAGCTTCCCAGTGAGTTGAAATTTTCCCTGCCATTGTATAAGAGGCCTGTAATATACCTATGCTGCTGCTTTTTTTTCCTGTCTGAAGTGTCTTTATTTAATAAATTTTTGAAGAGCTGCAATGACGGTGAGACTGAGGATCAAGAACCTGAGATCATAAAGGAGGCATGTGCAATTGAGGACAAGTGCGAAATAGCTAATGGTTCCTTTGATATGAGAGAAAGGGAAGAACTTCTCATGGAAATCCAGCTTCTGAAGAGCAAGTTACAGGCCTATACTACTGATGCAGCTCCAAACAAGTCCATTGACAAGCTAAGATCATCTCTGCTATCACGTTCCATGAATTTACGGAAAAACATGAGCACCCAGTTCAACAATGCTGAAGAGTTGGAGAAGGAGCGAGAGCGATGGACTGAGATGGAGAGCGAGTGGATTAACTTGACCGAAGAACTTAGAATTGACATTGAAGCCCATCGTCAGCATGCTGAGAAGGTAGAGATGGACTTGCAACAGCAGAAGAAGTATGCAGAGGAGTTAGATGATGCCCTTCATAGGTCAGTCCTTGGCCATGCAAGATTTGTGGAACACTATGTTGACCTCCAGGAAAAGTATGACCATTTATCAGAAAGTCACAGAAGGATAATGGAAACTGTAACTGATGTCAAGAAAGCCGCTGCAAAGGCAGGAGCCAAAGGCACTGGTGCTCGTTATGTTAAGGCTTTTGCAGCTGAGCTTTCAACAATGAGGGCTGAGGAGAAGAGAGAGCGAGAGCGGTTGAGAAGGGAGAATAAGGGCCTTAGATTACAGCTCAGAGAAACTGCTGAGGCAGTTCAAACTGCTGGTGAACTTCTAGTCAGACTTAGAGAAGCTGAGGAAGCTGCTTCACTAGCTGAGGTAAATTTTCTGATCACAACAGTTCGCGTAATTGGATATGAGTTAGTTTTGCAAGATCGATTTAAAAACATTGTAATGATTTTTGCTTACATACTTTTGAATTTCCGTATTCTTTGCAGTCTAACCTGACTGATCTTCAACAAGAGAATGACAAGTTGAGGAAGCAATTGGAAAAACAGAAGAACAAACACAAGATGGAAATGGTAACCATGAAACAGTACATGGCTGAAAGTAAGTTGCCAGAATCTGCATTAAGGCCTATACATTACGACGAGCCGCTTCCCACAAGCACTTTCACTTCCCAGGATGATGATGATGCTTGGAAAGCAGAATTTGGAGCCATATATCAAGATCACCGTTACTGAAATCTGGAGATAAAATAAATAAAGTCTGTGCATTTGGGTTTAGTTGTGGCTAGCCTTTGACCCTACTTGGGTCATGGTGGTATTCTGGTGTGTACAAACCATTGTTATACTTTCGGTCATTATGCATTTGACAAATTGCCAAGAACCAAGGATCAAAATGTTGTCATTCTTTAATTTAATTTAATATTTTTTACTCTCTCCTTCCATAAATAGTTGCTTTATTGTCTTGATGCATTGTGCTTCTTCATGCCTTCTTGGTCATTCAATCTAAGTGGGGCAATCAGGAGAAAATAATAATTCATTGTTATATTAGAAAAGGCGATAATTTATTTTTTTCGAAGACTTTAATATGATTTGAATTTTTTTTTAGTAAGGTAAGAAAATAACTTATTAGTAATGCTAGCAAGTTGTTGGGAAGGTTTTTCTATCCATAAAAGATCTTTTCATATGAGTATATGCAACAAAATTAACTCATACAATGTATATGATTATCAAATTCAAATTATTACGTGCACAATTACATTATTAGATTTTGATTTACCAAATTTGTATAGATTCCACCCCAAATCAATGTTTGATACCATAATATTTGTCTTATTATTATTTATAAATAGTATAAGACTCAAATCACCAAATGACTCATTTTTCGAATGACTCGAGTCGAATCGAACTAATCAAATATAGTCTACGAAATTTATTTGTGCACATGGGAATAGTTATGGAAATAGCAAGTACTATAACGATGTTCCTCTACTAATGTATAAGATTTGTTAAATTGAATAATTACACCATACATATCCTTAAACCTCATCACACCCCCATAGTCCCAAATTAATACTCGTACGTGAGATCAAATACCGCCTAAATCACCTACTCCGTATTATTTTTAACTCTTTTTAGTTTTTACACCTAAACAGCAAAAACACACACAACACAATGAAGTTATATAGGTAAAACGACGTCGTTGCATTCGGATAATAAAACCTAAAGTTTTTATTTTCTTTACAAATATTCTGAGTAGATAGGTCGAAAAAATAGAGAGAGAAAAAAAACGACTGAAAAAAAGAGGAGAGAGAAAATACGGCGATGGCGGAAGAAGCTCCAAATAATGCTGACATTAACACCGATTCTGAGTTTGGAAACGATGAAAACCCTAACCCTAATTCTTCTCCTAATAATGCTTTAGCTATCAATGGTATTCCTTCTTCTCCATTGATTTGCCTCGTCAAGTTCGCCGGTGATGCTGCTGGTGGTGCTGGAATGGGCGCTGTTTTTGGCTATGGTTCTCTTTCTCTCTCTTCTTATTTTGCTGATTTTGTTTTTAATTTGAAGAAATTGTGAGTAATTTTGAAGTATTATGTAGAAATTTGAGCTTTTTATGTGGAATTAAGAATGTTTCTCGTGAAATTGTGAATGGATATTTGTAATTGGATTTGATTTTTACTCTTTTTGATGAATTTTTTGTTTGAAATATTGTTTGTTGGGGATAATTTAAATATTGTTATGGAATTGCTGAGAATTTTAGAGAATTTATTGTTATTTAGCTTTAGATTATAATGGAATATCTAATTGGGCTCATGTAATGTAACTGCAGTGCTATATATTTTATAAATGGTTGTTGCGTTTATGAATTGAATGGTATAATGAAAATAAACTTTTTTGGGATTGAGAATGAAAATTTGAACATTCTTAGATATTTCAAAGTTCCTTATCTACCGTTTCAAAACCGAGATATTGGCGTTATTGTAGTTGTTGCCGAGGAAATTGGAGTTAAAAATTAAGTATTACTCCCTCCGTCCCTGAAAGTTTTTATTTTTCCTCTGATGGTGATTGTCTCACAATAAAAGTTAAAATTAACTTTTTGAGGAGGGTGTATGTTATAGAATTGTCAATTGGTTTGTTGTTCGAGAAGTTCTCCAGCGGATGCTTTTTTTGGTTATTATGACTTTAGTTATGACCTTATTTGAATCTTCAAAAGGTCTGAGAGTTGTTGTCCAGTAATGCTAATATTTTTAGACTTTCTGTTAGGCTTGCAGCGGTGGTAATTAAGTATATATTAGAATAGAGGGGAACCATTCTTTGAGAGCATTTGAAAAGTAGGGATATTGTAGGATTAACCAAGAATCCGGGATTAAAAAAAAAAAAAAGTAAGCTTGGTTTTGTTCATGGTTGTTTCTAAAGTTGGCTACGTTTTGGTTGTTAACTTGTTATAAGTGCTTAGCAGGGGTATTATTCTAATGATTTATCTTTAGGATACACACTTTTAAGTTATAGGTATTGTGGGCCTTTTTAATGGACCAGAAGTTCATGGAGTTAATGTTTACCCATGACCTTTCTTGATTTGGTGAAAACTGAAAATTCTTAATAAGCAGCATTTTCTGTTTTGAGAGGTGGAGGATGTGGTGAGAAACTGCTGCAAAGACAGACACAATGGGGAAGAACTTTTGTGTGCTCTAGTAATGAGTGTATATAGGTACTAGGAATGTCACATATGCACTATTCTAAATTGTATTAGTGATCTAGTATAACTTGACAATATAAGATGCAAGAAAAAGAGCAGAGACTGCTTGTATTACACAAGTTAGGTTTCACTTTTAGCTCAGATTGTCTCTTCATTTTATTTCTCTGCCCCTCAATGTTGATGAGACGGAGTCTAAAGCTGCTAAACAGGAAGCTAGAAATTGGGAGGCTGAATTTTGTATCTTACTCCTCTAGATCACTTTGATTATACTTTTCAATGTTTACGTTAACTTTTCTGCTTTTGTGTTTAATTAGAATTCTCTATACCCTTTAAACTTATCCCCATTATCCTATATATTAGAAAATTAGTCATTTCAGAAAAGAATATATGACATACTCGGGAATCAGAAAAGAATATATGACATCCTTGGGAAGCCCATAGTTATTATATTGAGCTCAACTATGTCCCCTGATTGATTATGCATGCCACAAGTTACTAGGTTTAGAGATGATAAAGTACTCAAATGTGCTAACTCTATACCATTAATGGTTAAAGAACCACGGGGTGTAATGTGGTCTTTTCCATAGTTTTCCTTTAAAGGTTGGTTGCTGTGCTCGTTATTAATTTATTATGGGGATGTGAGAGTCTTGGGGTGGAATTTGGGCTTTTGTAGGACATTAACTATGACATTTAGACTTTTAGACGGTGTTTAATTTTCATGGATCAGATTGAAAATAGTGTCAGGCTTAGAATGCTTTTTTTAAAGAACCTTTGTGGTCTTTTGGGAGATGAAACTCATGGATATAACTTCCTTTTGCTGGAACTGTTGAAAATTTGAGGGTTTTTTTTTTCCTATGAAATGTTCCTACAATTTCAAACTTTAGCTTGCATATGTGGGTTGTGGATTTGTAGGTATCCTTATGCACCCAACTCCTACTGGATGGATTTCGAATTGTAATTGTTTTTTTTTATAATGATGTTTTAGCAATTAGATCCAACTGGGCCTTATTTTGAAGTTTTTTGCATAGGAAGATTGCTATGTTCTTTCTCTTGCTGGAAACCATCTATCTTGATAGTATTTTATGAAGTGTCTTTTCTTTTGCGTGTTTCTCCATGTATATTGATGTGTGGTCTTTTAGGATTTGATCTTTGTTCAACCTGAAAGCGATTGCTACTGGTGTTTATTACAGGTGTTGGATTGTTCAAGAAGCAAGGCTTTAAGGGCTCTTTTGCAAATGCAGCTTCTAATGCCAAGGTCTGACTTTATTCCTGCAATTGATTATTGATGCTCTGGTGCCTTCCTGTCCCAGAATTTTGTGTGTTCTTTTTAATTAGGTTTGTCCATTGTTGTGCTCCTCTTTCTTTGAAAAAATGAATAATCCTTTTTGTATTTTTCGAATACTTTATATTCTAACACACTGCTATAAAATAATCCATTTGTGATGCTCCTTAGTATTTGTGAAAAATGAACTAGGACCCTTTTTTATGGGACAGAGGGAGTAATACTTATAAGTTACTCCTTTCTCTGCACAGACTGTACTTTCTAATTTCTACTTAATGAATATTTTATAATGTCCTTATTGAGCCATTTGCTCCATATATTCTTTTTTAAAGACATTTGCAGTACTCTCTGGGATTCATAGTTTGGTGGTATGCATGTTAAGGAGGCTAAGAAAGAAGGATGATGGTATGACATTTTGAATATTGTTACTCCGTATTCCCTTTTGTTTTACCTGTGTTGTAGCAATGTTCCTAACATATTGACTTGTTTGCCTCTGTTTAAAGTCATTAATGCAGGAGTGGCTGGCTGCTGCACTGGTCTTGCTCTAACTTATCCAGGTTCGTAGTACAGTTTACCCCTTGTTTTGATTGTGGAGTGATTTTGCTTGTATGCCTGTATTATAAATGGTTGTGTTTGGTTGCATGTATGTCCTGTGCTTCTGGATGAGTTGCTTGTTAATGGGTTGCTCTATGGAGGCTAGGTAGTTTTTATTCTTTTTTTTTTTTCCTTCCGGCAGATATTTTCTATGATCTCATGTTCAGTTATAAGGTATCATGATGTTTGTTAGCTACTAAGCCTGATATCTTTTACCACTTACCTTTGTTTGGTCGTCATATAAATGCTACTGTGTTTGTTAAAATGTTAATTGCTGTCTTCTGCTTATTTGATTTTGTTAGTCATGGAATATTGTGGTTAGTGAGGCTTCAGGTTTTTTGTGGAAATACTCTACTCTCTCACCAGTATTAATTCAATTAATTATACAAGTGTGTCATTGCTAAGAGGCATATCTCATCATGGTTACGTATAGGCCAAATGGTACGGTAAATGATTAAATCATGCTCCAGAAAAGGGCATTATGTTTGATGTGTCCATCTGACTCGTACTTCATTCCTCAATTAAGTTAATATTACATTTTGAACGAAGGTTTAAGGAGTAGATAGGATAAAGTGGGTTGGGTTGGGGTTAAGCCTAACTCGAGAGGAAAATTGGCAAGGAAAAACTTACTAATACTAAAACAAATGTTTATATGTGGGACTGAATACCGATATAGCAGCTCTTAACTAGGATAGTACTTCAAAGATTTGTGTGCAATATACTGCTTCGAATTAGACTTACAAAAGTTACAATCATTGATTTATATCATTTTGTATTCTGTGCCAGGTGCTCCTGGAGCTCTCTTGCAGAGCTGCGTTTATTTTGGTGGATTTGCCTTCGCCATGGAATTCTTAAACAAAAAGCAATCAGCTTTGGCACAACCCTACAAATCCCAAGAAAACCATAGTTGCCCGACTGCAGTTCCTCCTTTGGCGTTTCCCCTATCTGATGAACTAAAGGGACCATTCTTGTCCTTCTGTCAATCACTCAGAAAATCAAAGAATCGCAACCACCCTTTTGCAGCATAATTTTGTTTGATGAAGCTTATGTTGCCTTTTCGTTAACTCTACGTCCTCCAGATGCTATTATATAGCTCTTCTACTATATATGTATATCAGGATCGTGTTTCGCAACCTCTGTTCTCTACCCATTACTTTAGATGTAGTTAGCCTATTCATTTACTCTTTTTGCCCCATGAGTTGCTTAGGGATTTCCTTGTTTTTGTTGGAACGAAGGATGTTAGCTAATCATTTTAATGAAGTTGCAAATGAGGAATGATTTTGGTTTGAGCTCATATTAAGATCCTACCTACTTTTTAGTATTTTCATCATCTATAACAAATTGATCTTGATTATCTTTATAAACAGTTAAGCATACAATTGCGATCTAAATTGGAATTATATTGGTTTCTCAAAAACGAAAAAGAATACATGGATTTCCTATGATGATTGGGAGTTTGTGACCTTTTAATTAATATAATACTTCGTACTCTTAATTTTTTTTATATGATAAGGGCGTGCAATAAATGGTAATTGTCTTCATATTTTTTATGGGTGATAAATTTCTTAGAAAAAGAAAGGCAGGAATAAAATTTAACAAAATTGCATTTCTGAAAATGTCAAAAGGATTTGTTATTTTTGTTTTTAGTTATAAGTTTATTAAAAACTTTCAGTGTTTAAAAGACATGAAAAACCGTTTTTCATTGACTCGTTCTTTACTACTCGTAATAAAGCTTGCATAATGGGTCATAGCCTAAATTTATTTCTAGAAATTTCTTCCTTTTTTCTTCAGTAAATAATGTACGGACTACAGAGTTTATTTAATACTATTATGAATTTTTTTTTACTTTATACAAAAATAAAAAATATCGAGATGATTGCTTTGATGATAGAAAATAATCTTTATAACTTAATGGTTTATCATAATACTGTATATATATGGATTATTATTGATAAACAGTTTGTTTAATTTCCTAAATCAGTGATTATTGTGAATGATCTTTTAAAATGTTAGTATCCTATCTAATCCTATATTTAATTATCTGTTGCAATTTGCAATTAAAATATCCAAATGGACATTAACAAAATACGTAGTATAAAACACGGAGAGATTACTTGAAGGAAACGTATTAGATAGGCGGCATAAACTTCCCATAAACGAATATAGTCATTAACAAGTAAATTAAGGGCAAAATAAATAATCAAACCCCTCTTAAAAAAAATCATAATTTTCTTTCTCCAAATTCTGTTTTATTTTTATACTAAAAGTCGTTTAGAAAAATTAAAAAAAATCAAATCCTCTTAGATAAATAACAGCATATTTTGGATCCCTTTTTCATATTCTAAGAACCCTAATCTCTCAAGTTTTTTGTTTTTCTCTCAAACCAAAACATATTTTTCACTAAATTCATCCCACAAAACTTTTCATTGCTCCCGCTCTAAAAATTTCTCTTTTTAAATTTCTCGAAAAAACATTTGTATAAGACCGTCTTATCATCATCGTTGGTTGTCAATGGTGGTTAGGCCAAAGGCAGAGAACGGTATTTGATCATATTTCACGCATTCAGGGTTGATCACAGATTTGTTGTAATCGTATTCGTATTGAAGATCATGGCGCCAACATCGTATGATCCTAGCTTAAACAATGTATTTTATCACGATCAATGCAATCAATGTTTTCCGTTGTAACAAGTTTTTCTACGTGTGTCGTTTCGAGGGTACGATCTATTTTAACGGAGTGAACCTTCGTTAGTCATGTTTCGGATCATGGAGGAAGAAGGAGACATGGATTTCTCGCAGTTACAGTATGTTAAAAAACTCGCTCAAGGTGCAGAAAGCAGTATATACTACGGTATATACCGCGACAGAGACGTGGCTGTCAAGGTTTTCAAAGAGATCGATGATGAACGAGAAGATCGCGAGTTACACGCAGAGCGATTGAGGAAACAGTTTGATCAGGAGAAGAAGATACTGTCACGGCTACGACACCCGAATGTGGTGGAAATTGTTGCAGCCTGCAGACAGACATCAGTTTACTGTATTTTGACAGAGTTTATGTCAGAGGGTTCTCTAAGGGCGTACTTGAACAGGTTCGAAAGGAGTAAAACTCTGCTTCCTTTCGAGATAGTTCTTGTGATTGCGTTAGAGATTGCTAAAGGCATGGAGTATGTGCACTCTCAAGGGATTATTCATCGCGATATTAAGCCTGAGAACATCCTGATTGATCAGGGTTTTCGTCTAAAGATTGCTGATTTTGGTGTTTCTTGTGAGGCAAAAGGGTGTGATTGCAAAGATGTAGGGACTTTTCGATGGATGGCACCGGAGATGATCACACGAAAAAAGTATAGCAGGAAGGTTGATGTGTATAGTTTCGGGTTATTGTTAAATGAGATGGTTTCCGGGAGTGCTCCTTTTGGTGATTTGAGCCCGGTTCAAGTTGCTTACGGCGTTGCTAACAAGAACTTGAGGCCTGAGATTTCTAAGGGCTGCCCGGAGTTTATGAGATTGCTGATCGAACGTTGTTGGAGCAAGAATCCTAAGAAGAGGCCCGAGTTTTCGGAGATTGTGAATGTTTTGGAGAAGTTTCTAGGATTTCATGAAGATAATGAAGGCAATGTGAAGATGTTGCAGCAATGTGTAAAACAGGATCATCACAAGAAGGGATTGTTCCACTTGATTCAAAAGCTGTGTATATTTCCATGACTTGGGGAAATTGGTTTTTGATTTCCTTGAGTAATTCAATAGATTAGGTGTTTTGTTAGATTCTCTTAAGCATATATTAGTTTTTCTTGATTAGAAATTCAAAAAGTTGTAAATACAATAATCTCTTTTAAGTTTTTTCTATAAAGATTTTGGAATATTTTGATTCAAAGATGTATTGATTAAAAACCCCGATTAGTTTAATTTGTTCTTGATCTCGGTGCTGAATTGCTAGTTGTTTTGCTTGTAATGATTTAGAGTTTAGATCCCTGAAAGTTTTTCGAGAAAAATCGAAAAAAAAAAAAAGGGAGTCACACGCTCACTAAAATTTCAGGGTTAGAGTCACTGATGGCGCAACATGACATGATCAAGATTAAATTCTTCCTGTTCTTGGTGTACACAAGAAACATCACAAATTCAGATCAAACAAAATTAAAGCCAAATGTTACATATATTCTGATCAAATCATCCACAAGTTACATGTCTAAAGGAACTATTGTTTCGTGTTCTTTCAACTCTTCATTGATGAGAGAGAGACTGTAGAATCTTGCTAAGTAGGTTAGAGCTTCTTCATTGTTACTACACACTTTCCAAAGTGATTCAACTTCTCCCTTTGCAAGATTTCCCCATCGTTCACAGTCATTGAAAAAATCCAGGAGCTTAGAATAGTATGAATCATAATTCATGAGTAGGAACGGAACTGGAAGTTGAGATCCTATTCGCTGCAGCTGAATAAGCGCTAGGATCTCAAACATCTCATCAAGAGTTCCAATCCCACCAGGAAGAGCAATTACAGCTGTCCGGTCCAGGGGACTGTTTCTCACTGCGGCATCCACAAAACCATGTTTCCTAGCTGAGAAAAACCTATACATATAATAAGATGGATGAGTGAGATTGGCGTTATCAAAATAGATAACCTTTGTTCCTCTGGATATAAGTCCACAAATATATGGTTAGAGGCAGGAGGAGGGGAAGGGAAAAACAATGGGGGTACCTGCAAGTAAGATATGTATCAGCAGGAAGGTAAGGATGAGAGCCTGTTGAAGACCATTGACCAGCTTCTTTCTCGATTTTAAATCCACCAACAGGCTTCCCAGCTTGCAGCGCACCTTCAATAGCTGCATCCATTAGTCCTGGACCAGCTCCTGTCCATGTAGTGCAATTCAATAGATTTGCAATCTGCAGGAGAAAGGTGATGATGTATAAGAATTCTTGATTCTCTCTTTCACTGGGAAAAAACAAACCATTGATACAAGGTGAACTATAGCATGTGCGCAATCAGGTTTTGAGCATAATGTGCACAACATCAGAAAATTAAATGTCTTACTTAAGAAGAGTAAAAGATACAATGTGGGAGTAACTTGCCTCTCTACTAAGCTCAAGTGATTGGCTATAATGTGGATGATTAGCTCCCGGTCTTGCAGAGCCAATATAGATAACTCCCCTCCCTAGCCTGTGAATTAGTTCGTAACACTGTATAATCTCCTTTTTGACCTTCACAGGCAAAAAATTAAGCATTGTATCAGCGAGCATAAACTGATGCTAAATGATTGTGATGCAGCAAGTCTCAGAGCAAGCAAAGTCTGAAACCAATTCAAACAGTTCTCTGTAATTTAAATGAACACAGTAGCAAAGTCAAAAATCAGATGCCCTTTCCTCCAACGAGTCCCTTCCCACTATCTTGTAGTGTCTTTTGGCATCTTGCATGTGTGTACTTGACACCACAAAGTCGTTGCTACAAAAAACAACTGGACAGTAATGATATAGTATAGGACCTCAGGGAAAAGCAAAAAGAAACTAAAGCAATTAGAAAAAAATAAAACCTTTGAGGATTCTAGTGCTAATGCCTTGAAATAATACAAATATATATTAGGGAAAAAGCCCATAGGTTTACGGCTCTTCTTTCAAAGACGAGGATCGGGAGATTATGAGTTGTGAAGGAGCAGAAAATCAAGTATGGTGAAGTTGGTTTATAGAAGTATTTTAAGCATGTCAGCTACTTTTATGTCAGTTGGTGCTGTTTGTTAGCTTGGGTGGAAGGTAAGTGGAAGAACAAGAGATGTAACCTTAAAACTAGGAGCTTTTAGCAAAAGTTAGACTAATAGTTCTTACTTTCCGTGTCTAATATGGGTTATCATCTACGTCCTACGTAAGACAACCCTTCTATAGAACCAATCAAGCAAAAATTGGAGCTGATTCTTTGCTTGCTTAGCTCTCCTGTGCTCCAAACCTAAAGACTAATAGAAGGGAAGTGGATACAATGAAGCCTCCATAAACTATGCAACATATCCTAAACATAAAAGCGTGCAGCAAAAGTTGGATAATGAGTTTCACTTTCCCATGGGAACATAGAATCACCTTTGTTTACCAACTCATGGACAGTTTATCTTTCAAGATAATCTAGTTTCACTTCTGCATAAATTTAAACCTCGGCAGATTTCATAAAGCATGGATTGAGGAAACATAAGAAAGCATCATCTGAAACTAGATTATGCCAGTGCAACCAGTTGAATCCCCAGTTAATGATGTTAAGCAGTTGAACTAGATTATGCTTCTATTTCTCAATTTCTCATTGCTATATCTTTGAAATGAGTTTCCGGGAAAAAATATAAAGGTATGCTATGTGATTTCTCTTACCAAGAAGAAAGTACACTTATGGTCTATATTAAGCAGTCCTTAAGTTACTACATCTACTCAACTTCTCAATGTTATATTTCCAAAGTGAGTTTCCAAGAAAAAGTATAGAGGTATGCAATGTGATTTCTCAAACCAAGAAGCAAGTGCACTTTGGAGTAGTTTACTTAAACTCGGTTTGCACAGTCGGACTTGATCACAGCTAAACCTATTTCTATAGCTACAAAGCGAATTCGGAAATGGAAAGGAGACTATCCCCATTGCCAAGAAGAAGCACTCATGAAACACAATATTCCATGTCATATGTAGATTTTCAGCTACATAAAACCCAATACTTCCTAGGAAGGAAGCCATGCGGGGGCTTATAAATAAATTTTAATGAGTTTATAATCCTGTAAGTAATTGATTGCAGGTAATTTCAAAATGTACTAATTATCCTAATCATAATTTTGGCTTTAATAAAAAAAATTAAAAAAAAGAGAATATTTTCTGATTAAAGCTCAGCAGGAACAAGGTAAACCTGATTTTCTGAAATCCAGATGATTCAATACTCAAATTTAGACTCATAAATCAATTAAACTAAGAAATTAACAACATGAATAAAACCCATCAGCTATACTGAAGCAACAAATCCAGCAAAACCTTCAATTTTTCCACAATCACCCAATTAACAAGATTAAATCCATATAATTAAGAACAAATCAAACAAATTGAGCTAAATTTAGTGAAATTTGGGCATCCCATTACCTCATTTGCGCTTTTTCTCTCTTCAAAATCAATCAATTCACTTCTTTTGCAGCAGCTGGGAATCCCAACTCCAATCTTCGAAAACTTCCTTGATCTTCTTGCTGAATTGAAATCAATTAAAAGGGTTTCTCTACTTTGTTTCAAAGATTGCAACTTTGGAATAAACTTGTCAGAATTTTGAGCAATTGAAACATGGGAACCCCATGAACTGATCATATTAACATATCCCATTTTTTTAACTGAGTCAGACACAACACGACATAACACGGCACAGAGGTGGCACGCTCCCGGCACGGCACGACTGGCCGCCCACAAAACTAGCCGTTAAAGGGCTCTCTCAACGGCTTTCTATTGAATTTTCTTCTACTGTTTCTTGTTCAGCCCCACCTGACTTTAACAGTACAATATACTCCTCAGTCCTTATTCCCTTATTTTTAGCCCATAAATTATAAAATCAAAGCATATTACGTAGTATAAAAATATTCTCTTCATAAAATTAATAGTCAAAGAGACCTGCTGTTTTAATGTAACAATGAGTCTCGTTTTAGTAATTTATGTTGTACCTAAATTAAGTTCAAAAATATTTCTTGCAACTACTAGTTTATTACGTGAAAATTATAAAAAATCAAATTGAACTTTATCTACTTTGTCCGAATTTCAAATATATCTAAACTGTGTTTTTTCCAAGATATGTCGGACATTGAGAAAGCGTTAACATTCTAGCATGGTGGAAGTCACAAGTGAACATATTTCTTGTGATGTGTGCGATGGTTCGTGACATCTAGCGCTCAAGTCTTATCGTGCCATCAATGTGTGCATTGAGTGTATGTAGAAGGACGAGTTTTGGACGAGAAGAAAACTAATTTGCATCCAAAGATACTTGAAATTAAATGTGTATTTGCTATAAGGAATGGTTAGATGCAGATGGAAGAATAAAAGAACAAGTAGTTGATTATTTTAAAACTGATTCTGATGAGGAACAGCGGAAGCTACTGAAAGATTATGGGAATGTTTTCCTTGATTATTTACAAAGAGGAGTCCCATATAAATCATCATACAAGCCTTATCATAGGCTACCCCCGCAGTTGAAGCGGGAGGTTTACGAATGGTAAGACTGTCCCGAAAATCTTCAAATAACATGCGTGGGAGACCCTTAGTAAAGATATCCGCAACCTAATAACGGGACGGCGCATGAAGAACCCGAACTTCCCCACGTGCAAGGTGCAACCTTCTCTCGGACAAAATGAATATCCATTTCAATGTGTTTTGTACGCTGATCTTGAACTGGATTTCCTGATAAATAAATAGCACTAATATTGTCACAATAGACTAGTGTAGCCTTTTTAACCAGACAATGTAACTCCAAGAGAAGATTCTGAATCTAGCATGATTCGGAGACAACATTTGCCACCCCATAATATTCGACCTCTGCACTAGATTTTGACAATGTGGGTTGGCGTTTGGATGACCAAGATATCAAATTATTACCCAAAAATACACAATAATCAGACGTCGAACGTTTCAAATCAGGGCACCCACCCCAATCTGCATCAGTATATGAGACCAGAGTAGAACACAGAAGATGGATATAAATGTAGGCCATAATTAAGAGTACCCTGTACATACCAAATAATCCGTTTGAGAGCAGACATATGATCTATTCTCGGATCATGCATATGAAGACAAACTTACTAATGAACGGCATAAGAAATATGCGGCCTGGTGAATGTAAGATATTATAGAGCCCCTACAAGGCTCCAATATAGAGATGGGTCATCAAAATGAGTACTAGTGGTAGCGCCGACCTTCGATTTCGTGTCAACTGGAGTCTGAGACGGTTTACACGATGACATCCCTGCACGATCAATTATTTTTTCGGTATACTTACGTTGTGAGAGAAACAAACCACCCTTATGTCGAGTCACAACAACCCAAAAAATAATTCAAAGGACCAAGGTCCTTCATAGCAAACTCAGAGCTTAGAAGAGCCATTATAGAACATCGAAGAGCATCAGAAGAAGCAGTAAGAATAATATCATCAACATATAAAAGAATGTAAGCCATATCAATCCCTTTGCTATAAATGAACAAAGAGTTATACATCTTGCTGTTATTAAAACCAAGAGACAAAACATAATCAACAAAACGCTTATACCAAGCCCGGGGTGCCTGCTACTTAAGTCCATAAAGGGACTTACGCAAAAGACAAACATAATCCGGATGGACCCGATCCCTGTAACCTACTGGTTGATGCATATAAACTGTTTCCTGAAGCTCACCATGTAAGAAAGCATTTTTGACATCAGGCTGATGAATAGGCCATGTCTTGGACAAGGAAAGGCTAAAAACAGTACGGATTGTAGCCGGTTTGACCACCGGACTAAAAGTCTCACCACAGTCAATGTCAACTTGTTGAGTCTTGCCATCACCTACAAGACGGGCTTTATGCCTCTCAAAATCACCATTAGATTTGACTTTATGAGTAAAAATCCACATAGAACAAATCACATTCATATTCGGAGGACGGGGCGCCAACTCCCACGTCTTATTTTTAATAAGAGCATTATATTCATCATCCATGGCCATTTTCCAATTTGGGTCACGAAGAGCCGCAACCGGATTTCGAGGAAAAGGGGACCTTTCAACCGCGGTATGCATGGAATATTTAATGTTAGGCTTAAAAATTCCATATTGGCTTTAGGTTACTGGCTTAGGCTGTTGGACAAAAATTTGTTGTGGAGTTGGTGTGGGCATAGTGATTCGGTTTTGTGCGTGCTGGCGAATTGGGGGAAGGCAGTGGGCTTGGTGAAGATGGCCCAACTGGCGAACCAAGTTGGTGTGGAGCGCTGTTGGGTGTGTGTTAGGCCAGAGGTGTAGTGGGCTCAGTTGAGGCATGAGGCCGGTTTGGCGAGCTAGGCGTAGAGAGAGGATTAGGCTGGTCGATTTGGGCTTGAGCAGCGGAGCTAGGTTGATACATATGCTAAATCACATAAGGTGATAAACCGTCATCCAAAAAATCATAAGTATGGGATTGTGGGTATGCAAGTTAGCAAATGGGAACACATTCTCATCAAACTACATGGCGACAAATAATGATTTTATGAGAAGACATATCATAACATTTGTAACCACGATGGCTAGGTTGGAACCCTAAGAAGATACACGGAGTAGACCGAGGTTGCAACTTATGAATAGTTGTAGAGGGAAATAAAGGGTAGCATAAACAACCAAAGACCTGAAAATGAGAATAAGAGGGAACCCTTTTGTAAAGAACTTCAAGAGGGGACTTGTTACCCAAAAGCTTACTTGGAAGCACATTAAGAAGATAGGTTGCCATTTGGAGAGCATGAGCTAGAAGAGTACGTGTGACATTGTTTATAGATTGAATTTTTCGTTCGGCCTTCCCATTTTGAGATGAAGTATGGGGAAAGACAAGCGAAATGACATGCCATGAGTTTTACAAAAATCCCAAAAAGAACTATTATCAAACTCCCTACCATTGTCACATTGCACATTTTTTATATTACGCTCAAATTGAGTTGAGATATGGGCTTTAAAGGCTAAAAAAATGTCATAAACATCAGATTTTTGTGCCAAAGGAAAAGTCCATAAATACTTTGAAAAATCATCCAAAAAATTAAAGAACACAATAACGATGTCCCGCAGAACTCAAAACAGGAGATGACCAAAGATCACTATGTAAAATATCAAAAGGCAAAGTTGTACTCGAAGATGAAGAAACAAACGACAACTTAATATGTTTACCAATAACACAAGACCCACAAACACTAGAACTAGAATATTTATTACAATCAATGCTTTTATTCTTCCTAAGGATATCTAAAATTGGAGAACCTAGATGACCCAACCAATCATGCCAAGCTTAGGAGAGATGATGGCAAAGGTAGAAGATGAAGCTTGATTGTTGTGAGAAGAAATAGGATAAAGATCGCCCCGACTATCACATCTCATTATTTGCATCCCCGTCCGATAATCCTTTACAGAAAACCCAAAAGGATCAAATTCAACTGACACAAAAAATTATCAGTAGTAAACTTCCTAACATAAATGAGATTTTTAATCAATTTGGGTGCATGTAGAACATTTTGAAGGGAAATGGATTGAGTTGGGGAAGGCAATTTTGTATGACCATAGCCAAGGATAGGGATAGTATGACCATTTCCAACCACAATATTATTATTAGGATGATTGTTCAAATTAACATAAGACGTGAGATTACCTGTAGAGGACGTCATGTGGGAAATAGCCCCAGTGTCCATATACCAAGACAGACCAGGTTGTTGGAGGGACATGTGATAAGTGTTTTATTGTCCATTTATCATGGTATTTTTAACACGATTTTGTAGTCATTTTCTCCTCTATAACCCCTCTCCGACTCCTTGTTGTGCATGATTACAACTTTTGGCTTCCCCGTTCCGTTTTATGTGTGTGTTCGTGTTTGTAGATGCAATGAAAAATTGGTAAAGTAGCATGAACTTGAAGACTCTTTTGAGGAAGCATACACCAGGAAGGAGCGGGCGTGCACCAAGAAAGGAGCGGCCGCTCCTAATCGAGGCATCACAATCTGCCTCTCCCTAGCTATTCCCAGCAGAGAGTGGGCGTGCACCATAGGAGGAGCGGGCGCTCCTCCCCCGAGCTGCCACAAACTTCCATCTGCACTCCAAGGAGAGGGCGCTCCTAATCAAGCTCCAACAATCTGTCTTCTCTGATGCAGCCAAGAGCGGGCGTGCAACAGGCCAGGAGCGGGCACTCCAAGCAAAGGAGTGGGGCTCCTCACTGTAAATCCGGTTTTCTTGACGGATTTTCCTATGTAATTTTCGGGGGTATAAATACCACCCTTGGCTTCATTTGTACGGATCTTCTTCTTCTCTCTTAACTCTCTTAGGCTTATTCTCTTTGTTAGTGCATAGTTTTCCTCTCCCTTAATTTAGATTCTCAAAAACTCAATCATTTGTAAGATTTAATTGACGTTTGTTCTATCAATTTCAACAATAATTATTCTCAACCTTGAAGTATCAATTAGTAATCTCTTAATTTTTTGAATTTTATCCTTGCTTAATTATAGTTCTTACTTGATCATTGTTATTTGTTCTTGCATGTTAAATCCATCCTTGTCTTATCTCTTTTCTAGTTTAATTGAATTCATGAAAACCCTAGATATAGTTGTTAGAGTAATTCCCACCATGTTTAGTGAGTAGTTCATTAGTTAGGGGTTGGGTGAAAACCCAACCAAGCCATGGTTGATTGACTTGGATTTCTCCATGTTTTACTTTGGGTTGATGTCTCTTTGTGCTTGAATTGATTATTTCATGTGTATTTTGGTGGCCACTTCATGCTCATGTGTTCATTTCCTTACTCACACTAAAAGATGAGGTTTGGTAATGAGTCATTTCTTGTGCAATTAGATTATGTTACTTTCATGATTATGGATGTTTGGTTTCATTGAATATGATGCTTTAGTGTGGTAATTAGGTGAAAAATCCCAGTTATTTGTGCTTCATGCTAGTTCGGAATGATCGAGAGACAAACTCAATCTAAAAACTCAATTCGATCCTACCATTGAGACTTACTCCTTGTCATGTTAGTGTTTGATTTAGGGAATACTTATGTTGTGACTTTGAAAGAAGACAATGTTGAGTTCCTATTCTATCACCCATGTATGTTCATGATTTATCCTTGTTATTGATTATTTGGTTTGGTTGGTGTTGAATCCCGTTTCCCCTAGCGTTCATCTCTATGAATTTAACTAATCAAACCCCAATTTGTGACCGAATTAGCTTACAATCATCTCATACTCTTGGTGTTCTTTACCCATTCCCTGTGGATACAATCCCGTACTTACCCTAGACTTGTCTTAGGTTGGTTTAGGTAGAAATATTGTTTGGCTTAGGGTGATTGTCCAACGACCGATTCATCCCTCTACCAACATGGTGTGCATCGCGATCTTGAGATCTGTAGGAACATACGGTATGGACTGCCTAAAAGAAGGAGCCACACCTTGCTTAACATAGGCCTGTTGTTGCTTCTGAGGCCTTGGATCCAAAATCCCTTGTTGGCGCTACTAGGCCGTAGGAGGTCTGCCCATCCTTAAGTTGGGAAAGGGCATGGAGGGATGGGTCAGCCCTGACCATTCCAAGCCCAAGGATACGACATAAGCTGTTGTTGCTGCTGTTGGGAGTTTGTGTTTCCACCGTGGCCTCCCGAACCTTGTCCAAAACCACCCTTGTTCCCGCCGGAGTCTCGACCACCAACGGACCCACCTGAATTTTTCTGGCCGCCAGTGTTTTTCCAACAAGAAGACTGCGCATCATGCTTCCCTTTTTGGTGACCTATTTTCTCATCATCATCAATTGAAGCCGCCACCATAGCATATTCGATGGCTACTTCTCGCGACAATCCTGCCTCCACAAGGACGAGCATAGGCCGAGCCTTATAAAAGGGAGGAAGGGGATCGCTTTGTCGGATCACCGTACCCACTCCACGATACGGTTTCGTAAGACCCCCAACCAATTGCAAAACTATTCGACTATCCGTCACCGATGCTCCAACGTTCTTTAATTGATCCGCAAGGGATTTAAGACGTCGACAATATGCAGAGGCATTAGGGAAATCCTCCATAGAGACGGTGGAGAATTCTTGTTCAAGAGCAACGACGCGAGAATGTTCATTGTCTTGGAATATATCACGCAACCTATCACAAGCTTCCATAGCCGTAGAGTCAGGCTCAATAATGGTATGCAAGAGGTCATTAGAAATAGTAGAGTAAATCCACGAGAGAACCATGGCATCCAAGGTTGACCATAGTTCCTTTTCTTCATTGGTAGAAGGAACCGTCTTTTTCCCTTTCGTCGGAGGAATAATGTGATCAAGAACCTTGTGAGATCTTGCGTGAATCTTGAAGAGTTCCGCCCACGTAGAGTATTGCACGTTTTCCATCTCAAGAATAATGGGAACGAACGTGATTTTTGATATTTGATACGGCAAGAGCCGGATGGAATGAAGATTTGTTGATTGCCATTGATGAAAGTCGGATAACAGAGAATTAGAATAAAAAACAGAGAGAAGAGAGTGAAGGAGATGGTGGACAAGGAAACTCGAGCTAGGGTTAGCGGAAGACAAAGAGATTAGAAACCCTAGGCAACTGATACTGATTAGGGGATTTTGCTCCTACCAATCGGAATGCGCCACGTGGGCCAATCAGGACCTGCCAAGTGTCCCCTAGTTGGAACTGTCAGGGCTTGCCACGTGGCACGCGCTTATTCGTCCACCTTGGACCTGTTATGTCACGACATGTGGCATACTCCATGCCTAATGGAGAAACCGGCCACCCAGGCCCAACTTCCGAGGGAAGCCCAATCGGCCCTAGGTTTACCTAAACCTAGGATGGGCACGTTTCCCAAGGTTATAAATACCTCCCTTAATCCTCATTAAGGGAAAAAAAGAAAAACATTACGGAACACACTAATAACCGGCTGATCTCGCTAACAAAGCAGATTACCTGCATTAAACACTCTCACCTAGAGAGACCTTATTACTTTAATTTCCGCATTAATTACTCCTTAATCAGGTACTAACTTGACCGTTGGAGGCGGAGCTCCCAGGAGTCTCCGTTATTTTGCAGGTACAGGCGTCCGGTTCCAGTCTCGGAATTGTAAATCTCCCGCAGGACATCAGAAAACCCCGAAACATTTGGCGCCGTCTGTGGGGAGAGTACTTCAGAGATGGCATCCAAGTCTGTGCCGACTCCTGAAGAGAGGCGCCCCCTAGACGACCCTCAAGTTCAGTCGGACCATGACACCGAAAGTGAATTTGAAGTTGAAACTCATACAGCTTCAGACGGGACCCTAAGGGCCCGACGTACCTGTCATACCGAAAGGAGGGAACGGGAACATCTTCAAACAGGAAGCGAGCCAGCAGGCGCACTGCCTGTTCGGCAACAGCCGACTGATGGGTCTGCTCCCATCACAAGGAACGAACTCATGACCTTCATGAGGGACTTCAAGGGAGAGATTCAAGAGTTGATCAACAAGAAGCCGCCTGCTTCAGTCAAGGAGCAGTCGGCCAAGAAACCCTCCACTTCACTAAAGAGGAAGCCAGTTCAAGGGCGAGAGGCAACTCCTCATCCAAAATCTAGGAAGCGGGAGCCACCTGCCCTTGATTTCACAAAATTCCGTTATCCTACAGGAAATAGGAAACCGGTTCGTCATATTCAGGCGGACGGGTCAAAGCAAACATTCACAGATGCTCGGCTACTGCTAGAGCAGAAGAAGAGTGACCGATTGTCAGAGTCGGCTTCTACTTCAAATTTTCAAGACAGTTTGCGAAATGCCTCGATGAGGCATACTCAGTCGTACCATGAGAGTCAGTCAGGCGGCACCTCCCGTCAGTCCGGCTTTCATAGTGCCCAGGCGGTACCAAACTTACCATTTGTGCCGCAACAACAGTATTTTATGCAGCCACCTCCATTTGGTGGACCTACAGCAAAAAACGTCCAACCTATGGACTGGCAGCTACGGTTGCTTAGACTTGGTGAACAGCCGTCGGCCTTCTCCAAGGAAATTACTGAAGTCGCTCAGCCGCCCAAAGTGAAAAATGTACTAGTAGGCGCCTATGACGGCACTACTAACCCAGAAGACCATCTGATGGCATTCACCAACCTGATGTACCTTCAAGGGTTGGATGATCCCACTTGGTGCAAGTGTTTCCCAGCGACTCTCAAAGGAATCGCACAGCAATGGTTCGGCAACCTGCCGACTGGTTGTGTAAATAGTTTCAGGACGCTTGCTTACTTATTTGCCTCCAACTTCGCCATGAACATCCCTGCGAAGAAAACGACCCTTGATTTGGGAACAATTCAGCAGGGCGAGAAGGAGGGGCTTCGTTCTTACATCAGGCGGTTTAACCTGATGAGAATACAGATTCAAGGGTTACCGGATGAGGTAGCTTATACCGACTTTTTTAGAGGTCTCAAAGACGGGTCTACCTTCAAATTTGATTTGGTTCGAAAAAGGGTGGCGACTCTTCAAGAGGCCTTGATTGAAGCAGAAGCCTATATACAGGCGACTGATCTTTGTACGATGAAACAGTCGGACGGGAAAAGGTTCGACAAAAGAGAAGGACGACAGAAACAGTCGTCAAACAAAGAAGAGAAAAGGAAAGAGGTCTGGGCGGCTGATTCCTCTAAACAGCCGGCCCAGAAAAAGAAAAAAGAATTCAAACCATACTCCCCAAAGTATGCGTTTAACAAGGATAACCAGTTTATCCTAAAAGAAATCAAGGGACGGATCTCAATTGAGAAGCCGGTCCCCATGAAGGGTTCTGCAAACAACCGGAACCAAGATAAAATCTGTGCTTATCATGATGACGTTGGTCATCACACCAATGACTGCATCAGTCTTATGCGGTACCTAGACCGCCTGGCTGAGCAAGGTGATCTTGACACTTATGTCAAGAAATCTACGGGGAACACTTCTTCAAAAAAGCTGTCGGCCAAAAAGAATCAACAGGCCGACAGCTCCGATACAGATGATGCAGTCGTCTACACCATTGCAGGCGGCTTCTTAGGAGGCGGCCCCACTATTAGGGGCAACAAAGATAATATAAGGCGGTTAGATGTAAATTCCGTTCACCAAGGACGGCCGTCCAAATATACATTTCCTGAGATTGTCATCACTGAAGAAGATCTAGGAGGGGCAAGAGGGCCGCATGACGACCCTATCGTTATTGAATGTAAAGTGGCCAACCAGAGAGTTGGCTGAATCCTCATAGATACCGGGAGCTCCTCAGATCTCATCAGCAGCAAATGTCTGTCGAAACTGAAATATCAGACTGACTGCATACATCCCGCCTCCCACCCATTAGTAGGGTTTGGAGGAGGAGTCGTCCACCCACTGGGACGAGTAGATTTACCCATTCGCCTGGGCGAAAAAGGGGAAGGACGACACATGGTAGTCCGGTTCCTAGTAGTAGAGGAACTCTCGGCCTACAACATGATTCTGGGTCGACCAACCCTGAATAATTCCAAGGCTGTTATAATCCCGTCTCTTATGTTGCTCAAGTTTGAGAGGGATAATGGAACAGTCGGCTCCCTAAGGGGAAATCAGAGGATGGCCCGAGAGTGCTATCTCTCGGATGTCAAGCCCACTGTTATGGCCACTGGGTCAAGTGGAGAAAAAACAGACCTTGACAATGTCAAGGAGAGTGCGCCTGTTCAAGAAGCAGGCGACAAAAAGAGAAAGGCGTCCCAGACAGAGTCCGCAAGAAAAGCAAGAAAATAGCAATCATTGGCAGAGGAGCGGCCGGATGAGTTCCGCCCTCAGCCGGCTGGTGAGCATGCGGACCTGATCTTAGACGACTCACGTCCTGACCGAACAGTCAAAGTTGGGACGACTGCTCTGAGAAACCTTGGTGACGACTTTCACAACCTATTGAAGGAATACAAGGACATCTTTGCATTTGAAGTCCATGAAATGCCAGGCATTAATCCTGATCTGGCGGTACATAAACTCGCCGTGGATCCGAAAAAGAAGCCGGTACGGCAAAAGAAGCGGAACCATGGCGAAGAAAGAAGTCAGGCGGCAGCCGCCGAAGTTAAAAAATTACTTGATGCAGGGTTCATTCGGCAATGTTACTTCCCAGACTGGGTTGCAAATGTGGTGCTTGTTAAAAAGCCGAATGGCACCAGGGGAATGTGTGTAGACTACACAGACTTAAACAAGGCGTGCCCCAAAGACAGTTACCCTCTGCCTAAAATTGATAACCTGGTCGACTCAACAGCCGGCCATGCCTTGATGAGTTTCATGGACGCCTATTCTGGTTTCCATCAAATTCCCTTATGGAAGAAAGATCAGGAGAAGACGGCCTTCGTCACTGATCAGGGGTTATACTGTTACACGGTCATGCCGTTTGGTCTTAAGAATGCCCCGGCTACCTTCCAACGAATGATAAACACTGTGTTCTTTGATCAGATTGGGAGAAACGTCGAGGCATACATTGATGATATGATTGTCAAGACTAAACTTCAGAAAGATCATCTGTCGGACCTCCGAGAAACTTTCGCCACACTCAGGCGGCACCATGTCCTGCTCAATCCCAAGAAATGTGTATTTGGAGTTGAGTCTGGGAAATTTCTCGGATTCCTTATCAATCAGAGAGGAATAGAGGCGAACCCTGAGAAGGTGCAGGCGGTCATTGACATGCAGTCGCCTCGTACCATCCGAGAGGTTCAGAAGTTAACAGGTTGTCTGGCGGCCTTGGGAAGATTTCTAAGCCGATCAGGCGACAAATGCCTATACTTTTTCCAGGCAATTAAGAAAAAGGCAAGGTTTGAATGGGGGCCGGATGCTGAGGCCGCCTTCCAGAAATTAAAAGTTCACTTGCATTCCTTGCCGAGGCTGGTCAGCCCTTTGCCCAAAGAGGTTCTCTACATGTACCTGGCCGTCTCTGATCATGCGTTAAGCGCTGTTCTCCTTGCTGAAAGGGACGGCTGTCAGCTCCCGGTCTACTTTGTCAGTCACGTACTGAAAAATGCCGAGTTGAGGTATCCCCTAGTGGAGAAATTTGGTCTTGCACTCTTCATGGCTGTTAAAAAATTGAAGCCCTACTTTTTGGCACATGCAGTCGTCGTGTATACTGACCAACCTATCAAGCGGCCACTTACCATCATGGAGTCTTCAGGCCGCATGATCAAATGGGCCATAGAAATACAGAGCCTCGAAGTTACTTTCGAGCCTAGAAAAGCAGTGAAGGGGCAAGCCTTTGCTGACTTTATTGTAGAGATGACTCGTCCTCCTGACTCTCAAGTTCCAGACCAAGTATGGAAGGTATATGTGGACGGAAGCTCTACTTCAAATGGTTGTGGAGCAGGCGTCATATGTCAGTCGCTAGAGGGCGACAGGTACGAGTATGCTCTACGCTTCAGTTTTCAGGCTTCAAAC